AAAGGATCGTAAGCCAACAGGGCTGGGTGCGGGTACTCCCAAACTAAAGGTGATGGCTTACTGGTCTGCAAGTTCCTGAGGGAACCAGACTGTAAAGCCCGTGCCTTTGGGGGGAAATTAGGGACCATTGTCCGTACCGCACAACGATGCGTAGGGCATGTGGCGGGAGAAAGGGGATGACGATCTTCCGGCAAGTCGACGGTTGAAGGAAAAGGGGAGCCAAATGGTATTAAACTTGGCTTCTGGAATTTTACGTTCGTCCCCCGCAGAAGCTACTAAACTACACGCTGAAACGGCAGAGTACTGTGCAACACAGTTAGTACTGAGCAAACGGTAAGCGCCAGGCCCGAGCAGCAATGCAGATGCAAGTCCGACAATTCTCAGCTTAGGCATCGGCCATCTCCTGTCAGTAGCATGCCCCATGGTCTTTGGATGGACAACAATGCAAAATGTCAGGGGGGTCCCTTAGTTGTCTCCATATCCTGTGGCACTCTAGTTCCTCAATTCAAGGAACTTGGTTCCAGTAAACTGTAAGACGGAGTGGGAAAAAAAAAAGGATGGGAAAAAAAGAGACCGCTTGAACGGTGAGCAGACCAATGTAGATATTGCGGTGGCTGAAGCCTTCGTTGTGAGAATTGAAGGAAGAACCAGCCGTTTTCTCCGCCCTGAAATGTTGGCTGGCTTTGGGCTCAATGCTGACAAGATGATCTAGCGGTACTGTACGTACGTCTGTAGCCAGTTACACGTATATTCGTACAGTGTAGATTTTAGATCTCTCGATAGTTCACAGCCGCAAGCCTCTTGAGTCTGTTCTGCCATGGCCACCGCATGGGAAATGCTTCAACGTGCAGAAAGCCAGTAAACTTTGGCGGCATGCCCGTCTCAACGCTCAGCCAGGTAGAAGGATATCTGCGCATTTGTCGTCAACGTCTGCGAATAGCTATCAGGGAACTCACCAAAGCCCAAAATGCACTGCAGTCAGATTCTCGTTTCTTAGAGGGCGGGTATCTGATTCTTGACAGGGATGGCAGCTGGAGATGGGATGGATCCTCGCCCCCCAAGTACCAAGTTATGGCGGAGTGGAGTGGCTCAGCAGGCTTAGCGCGAGATGAGTCCCCTATTCTTACCTCTCTTTCTCAAGCTGTGAGCCCAGTCGTGGAGCAAAACGAGATTCGTTCCCAGGGCCTTTCATCAAAACATTTTCTCAGAGGAGAGGAGAAAAATAAACCCTGCCACTAGCCTTCTTCTTTGCCTTCATTATCCCTCTTCCCTCCTATCCTCAACTTCATCCTCCTTATCCTTTCCCCCCGCTCCAACTATCACCGTTCTTTTGAGGCTGGCGCCTCAAGTTTCCTACTGTATCTGTTGACTGTTGCTGGGGCTAAGGTGCTAGAGCTGCTAAGCTGCTACTGCTATTCAATAGGTGGCTGCCCGTGACCACCATTCGCATTTCCTTCCTCCTGTTTCAGCTCCTATCTCGACTGGAGAAAAACTCACAACACCATCTTCACTTCGCATCGCCATCGCTCATCATTTATCCGAAGCTCATCGACTAGAATCCCAACAGTGCTGAGCGCCTACGGGAGCATAACTATTCATCATGGCGTACAATGGCCGTGATCAGGAGTATGGAGGACATGCTTTGCAGGACCTTCCTGCTGGCGGAAGCGTGAGTGCACATTCTTTGTCCGTCGCTTAATTGTTGAACGACAAGGACTAATTCCCCTCCAGCAGTACCATCTCCCTCCTCAGGAGAACGACGAGGAGCAGGGCCGCGGCCTCTTGAACTCGGGTTACGACCAAGATCGACTTGGCGCCCGCACTCCCCCCGACCGCCCCGTCTCTGCTTACAGTCTCACTGAGTCCTATGCCCCTGGAGCCTCGTCAACCATGCCTGGCCAGGGACCTACTGGATATGGTGATGGAGGCAGCTTTGGTCAGTTTGGTAACCTTGATGCCGCTGCCCCTTTCCCTCGTCCCGACTCTGCCTTCGATCCCGAAGACAGCTGGGTCGAGCGACAGCAGCAGCCTCAGATGGGCGGTGGTCTTGGCCGTTCGAAAACCCGAAAGATCAAGCTGGTTCAGGGTTCCGTTCTGAGCATTGATTATCCCGTGCCTAGTGCGATCAAGAATGCTGTTCAGCCTCAGTATCGCGACGCTGAGAGTGGCACCGAAGAGTTCCATAAAATGCGATATACCGCTGCCACTTGTGATCCCAACGACTTCACACTCAAGAACGGTTACGATTTGCGACCTCGCATGTACAACCGACACACTGAGTTGCTGATCGCCATTACATACTATAACGAAGACAAGGTCCTTCTCGCCCGAACACTGCATCACACTATGCAGAACATCCGCGATATCGTCAACCTGAAGAAGTCGACCTTCTGGAACAAGGGTGGCCCAGCTTGGCAGAAGATCGTTGTATGCTTGGTTTTCGACGGTATCGACAAGGCTGACAAGAACACTCTTGACGTCCTCGCCACTGTCGGTGTGTACCAGGACGGTGTCATCAAGAAGGATGTCGACGGCAAGGAGACTGTTGCTCACATCTTTGAATACACCACCCAGCTTTCCGTCACGCCCAACCAGCAGCTTATTCGACCCACGAACGAAGGCGCACAAAACTTGCCACCAGTTCAGATGATATTCTGTTTGAAGCAGAAGAACACCAAGAAGATTAACTCGCATCGATGGCTGTTCAACGCCTTCGGCCGTATCTTGAATCCTGAGGTGTGTATCCTCCTCGATGCGGGTACCAAGCCCAGTCCCCGATCTCTCCTTGCTCTTTGGGAGGGTTTTTACAACGATAAGGACTTGGGAGGTGCTTGTGGTGAAATTCACGCTATGTTGGGTAAGGGTGGCAAGAAGCTGTTCAACCCCCTCGTTGCTGTCCAGAACTTCGAGTACAAGATTTCGAACATTCTGGACAAGCCCCTCGAGTCTTCTTTCGGTTATGTCTCTGTGTTGCCTGGTGCTTTCTCGGCCTACCGATTCCGAGCCATCATGGGCCGTCCGCTGGAACAATATTTCCATGGTGATCATACCTTGTCTAAGATGCTTGGTAAGAAGGGTATCGATGGTATGAACATTTTCAAGAAGAACATGTTCTTGGCCGAGGATCGTATTCTTTGTTTCGAGCTGGTCGCCAAGGCTGGCCAGAAGTGGCACTTGTCCTATATCAAGGCCGCCAAGGGTGAAACTGATGTGCCTGAGGGTGCAGCTGAATTCATTAGTCAACGTCGACGATGGCTCAACGGTTCGTTCGCTGCCACACTATACTCCCTGATGCATTTCGGACGAATGTACAAATCGGGTCATAACATCATCCGCATGTTCTTCCTCCACATTCAGCTCATCTACACCACTCTCAATACTCTCTTCGCATGGTTCTCTCTCGGTTCTTACTGGCTTACAACATCCGTTATCATGGATCTTGTAGGTACTCCTAACGCTACATCCGGTGTTCACGCCTGGCCATTCGGCGACACGGGTACACCTGTCGTTAATGCCCTGCTCCAATACCTCTACTTAGCCTTCGTCATGCTCCAGTTCATTCTGGCTCTGGGTAACAGGCCCAAGGGTTCCAAGTTCACGTACATCGCTTCCTTCATGGTCTTCAGTCTCATTCAGGGTTACATCCTGGTTCTCTCAGCCTACCTGGTCGTTCGTGCTTTTGATACGCCCATTGGAGACCAGATCTCGTTCGCCTCGACCGATGCTTTCCTTGACAGTTTCTTCGGTGGTTCAAGCGCTGGAGGTGTTATTTTAGTTGCCCTCATCACCATCTATGGACTCAATTTTGTAGCCTCGTTCATGTACCTCGATCCTTGGCACATGTTCCACTCTTTCCCCTACTACCTGCTTCTCATGTCGACTTACATCAACATTCTCATGGTTTATGCCTTCAACAACTGGCACGATGTCTCATGGGGTACCAAGGGTTCAGACAAGGCCGAAGCACTTCCCTCTGCCCACGTCACCAAGGGTGAGAAGAACGAGATCGTCGTCGAGGAAGTTGAGAAGGAGCAGGAGGATATCGACAGTCAATTCGAGCAGACTGTTCGCCGAGCCCTCGCTCCCTTTAAGGAGGAGGAAGAGGTTGAGAAGGCCGATGTTGAGGATGGTTACAAGTCTTTCCGAACAGGTCTCGTCGTCAGCTGGTTGTTTGGAAACATTCTCCTCATTGTCTGCATCACCAGCGACAAGTTTGATAACCTCGGATGGGGTGTAAGTTTTTCCGAGGCTATACGATATGTGACCTACACTAACATTTTGATAGGAACCTGCCACAGATCGCAAGGCGCATTACTTCCAGTTCCTCCTGTACGCTACTGCCGTGCTCTCGCTCGTTCGTTTTTTCGGTTTCTTGTGGTTCCTGGGCAGGACTGGTATCATGTGCTGTTTTTCGAGACGATAAGCTTCGCGCGTGTGTACGCTCGTTGTATTCGACACTCGCATTTTTCTGGAGAGGCCAGGTACGGGAAAGTACTGGCACTTGTCATAGTAGACAAACTGGATTTTTGTACCGGATACCTTTGTTATGTAACGTACGCTAGGGTTTGACTATTTGAGTTAATGGAGGGACATCAACAAAAGAGGACATTGGAAGTGAAGGTATTCAGACCAGATCTGAGTACGAGCAAATGCATTCTCTATTTAGTCTTTTTCAGATTGGCATCTGCCCCTGGGGGTTTATGACGCATTTGAATGATATGATTTTTTTTTGTTCATATTGCCTTATTTATTGCCTGTGTTTTCTCCCATCATTGGCTACTAATTCATGCGTCATTCTGTTGGTATCGCCTAAACCTCGGTGGGGTTCAGGGATTAGGCTTGTGGCTGCCTTACGCTGTGTTATCTTATCAAGCATCATCACCTTTTCTACTAAGCACGGCTAGACCCTTCTCGCAACTGAGTTCAGCGCATTCACGACCAATCTTAGAACCTTCCAGTGCTACTCGTCCTACATTATCTTACAACTTGACCTGTTTGTCATACCCGAGCTCTCGCACTTTATCTTCTGTCATTTCATTAAGGGTCTTTCGACGGCGCATATGATAAAGCCCACGTTTGGGCCCCCACATCCACGATGTTGAAGATATGGTCGATGGTGAGTTATCTACCAGCCGTCACCAACCAGTTAGACACTGACAGTGGTATAGAAAAAGGAGCAGAAGGAGGCAGAGAACGCCGAGGGCCAGGCGACGGGTGGCAAGAAGAAGAAGGTGACTGCAGCACAGCTGCGCGTGCAAAAAGGTATGCTTCATCCTGCCCCGACCTTGACGTGTAGCGGTGTGTTTAGGGATGAAGAGGTTGACGTACTCTGCAACAGATCTTTCAGAACTTTCTCTCGGATCGACGATGAAGACAGAGTTCCCCGACCCCGACGATATCCTTAACTTCGTGCTTACGATTGACCCTGATGAGGGTATGTACCGAGGCAGCCGTTTTACCTTCGATTTCACTATAAACCAGAACTTTCCCCACGAGCCTCCCAAGGTTCGATGCCGAGAAAAGATCTATCATCCCAACATCGATCTTGAAGGCAAGGTCTGCCTGAACATTCTACGAGAGGACTGGAAGCCAGTACTGAACTTGAATGCTGTGATTGTTGGCCTGCAGGTATGGACTCCAGAAAGAAAAGCGCCTTTAGTAAATTAGACGTGAAATACGAAGTATATATGATTGTGGATTAGTGACTAATATTATTGCAGTTCCTCTTCCTCGAACCCAACGCATCGGACCCGCTCAACAAGGAGGCAGCTGAGGATCTACGAAACAACCGAGAGGGATTCAAGCGCAACGTGAGGACTGCCATGGGCGGTGGAGTAGTCAAGGGCAGGACATACGACAGGGTCCTGAAATAGAGTTGGAATAAGACAAATACCAAGAGTTGCAGGGATGGGCCGTTAAGATTTGGGACGATACAACGACTTAATGGGTGTTTGAGACAGACAAGCATTTGATAACAAAGAGCATCGCGTGGCGTCTTATAAATCCATGATCTTGACTAGGCAATCCTTGTCTTCTAACCTTTCCATGATTACAGATAGTGATGGGCTTTGGTGGAGAGGAGTCAATGGCGAGAAGAGCTGAGCTTGATATATGTGCTCAGGTAATTACATGATGATTCCAAGCTTACTGTAACCACCTAACCTGTATTGCCTTTTTGAATCAGAGAGGGTCATGGTAAATGCTGGCTCGTAGTTCAGTGACACTCTATTGGGTGGGGACATCTTGCTGCCCTGGCTGCCGACGTAGGATCAACAGCTCAAGGTGAACATGGAGTGGCTTGCCTGGCTTGCTTCATGATCCCGCCAACGCACGTGGAGTACAGAAGTCTGAATTGAGCCTCATCTACGTGCTAAGAGTCCGCAACCCGGAGTAAGTGGAGTTTCAAAGAGTCAACATCGAGCCAGATCTAGACTATCTTGTCTGACATACCGACCGGAGTAAGTGATAGAGCCCCGACACGTAGCTTAAAGACCCCGAGTGCGGTGCAGCTGCCGTTGCCGCTCGTGGATATGGAGTCGTGATGTTGAGTTCGGTAGAGCCCTATTGGACAAGACGCCTGAATCGGCCGTGATTTTGTGTGTCGGACGATATGCGGCTTATGAGCTCGGGGGAACTAGCAGAACTCCGGAGCAGGAGGGCCCATTTCTTTTGAGGGTTACCCCGTCAAAGCATTAGCTCCAAGTTGGGATAGCTTGAGATGGTGCGGGTGAGAAGTGTTCAATCTTGCCACGCAATTGATCAATAAGGGCTATGATCTTGAGAGGATCCTTGGAGAATTGGACAGCAAGAAGAGCAGTGAGTTTTTGGCGTTATTACTGCCTATTCCTGTGTCTGGGTGCGCCTTCTTCTGGCGGTCAGATCTCTATGCAACGGCATCTGAAAACGCACACAGAGAGCTTTGGTGGTTGGATAATATTAAAGTCACCGCTAATTGGCCGAAACTTACGTGACTCGAGGTGAGAGATCCTTTCCCAAGTACCAGAGTTCTCCAGGTCAAATGTCTATGGTACACAATTCCCCTCACCCCGATACGCTCTCAGTCAAGTCGCCTCTACCCACATAGCCCCCAGACCCATCCCCGCTGCTCAGCGTAGGGCCCCCACCTCACAGCACAAGCCGAAATCGGTCCCCCCTCCAAGCGACGTCCCTGGGGAGAAAATTAGTGACAGCTTAAACCTACTTAACCTTTACTCTCGCCTTTGCCTTTCCCTCTTTTTCTTCCTCCTCATCCTCTCTTCAGACACTCTCCCCTCAGTTCCCAAACTGTCCCCTCACATCCTCACAATGGCTTCTCGCAACTTCACAAAGGCCCTCCGTGGCCCTGCCCGCCAACTGGCTTCTGCTCCCCGTGTTCAGCAGCGAACTTTCGTTGCTGCTGCTCGCTCTGCTGTTCGCGTTGGTGCTGTTGCCCGACCTGTTGCCGCTGGCCCCGTCCAGCAGCAGGTTCGTGGTGTCAAGACCATTGACTTTGCTGGCCACAAGGAGGACGTCTATGGTGAGTTACATCTCCAATTGCAGCTGCCGGATCAATTGGACAGCGAATACTGACTAGTATTTCACAGAGCGTGCCGACTGGCCCCAAGAGAAGCTCCTTGAGTACTTCAAGAACGACACTCTGGCCCTCATTGGCTACGGCTCTCAGGGCCACGGCCAGGGTCTTAACCTCCGTGACAACGGCCTTAACGTCATCGTTGGTGTCCGAAAGAACGGAAAGTCCTGGAAGGATGCTGAGCAGGATGGCTGGGTTGCCGGCAAGAACCTGTTCGACGTTGACGAGGCCATCTCTCGTGGTACCATTGTCATGAACCTTCTCTCCGATGCTGCCCAGTCTGAGACTTGGCCCGCCATCAAGCCCCAGCTCGTTGAGGGCAAGGTAAGCAGCACTCCCCACCTATTGCCAGCCCAGGCATAGCTCTAACATATAAACCTTGCAGACCCTTTACTTCTCCCACGGTTTCTCCCCCGTCTTCAAGGACCTCACCAAGGTTGAGGTTCCCTCCAACATCGATGTCATCCTATGTGCTCCTAAGGGCTCTGGCCGAACCGTCCGATCTCTCTTCCGTGAGGGCCGTGGTATCAACTCCTCTTTCGCCGTCTACCAGGATGTCACTGGCAAGGCCGAGGAGAAGGCTGTCGCCCTTGGTGTCGCCATCGGCTCTGGCTACCTCTACAAGACCACCTTCGAGAAGGAGGTCTACTCCGATCTCTACGGTGAGCGTGGCTGCCTCATGGGTGGTATCCACGGTATGTTCCTCGCTCAGTACGAGGTCCTCCGTGAGCGCGGCCACAGCCCCAGCGAGGCCTTCAACGAGACTGTTGAGGAGGCTACCCAGTCTCTCTACCCTCTCATCGGCGCCAACGGCATGGACTGGATGTACGAGGCTTGCTCCACCACTGCCCGTCGTGGTGCCATCGACTGGAGCCCCCGCTTCAAGGACGCTCTGAAGCCCGTCTTCAACTCCCTCTACGACGCCGTCAAGGATGGTTCTGAGACCAAGCGATCTCTCGAGTACAACAGCCAGCCTGACTACCGTGAGAAGTACGAGGCTGAGATGAAGGAGATCCGTGAACTCGAGATCTGGCGCGCCGGCAAGGCCGTCCGTTCTCTCCGACCCGAGAACCAGAAGTAAGCGGCCATTAATGTTGAATGATAATTTGTGAGCTGGAGATGGAGATGGGATGGGATGTTTGGGAAACGGCTTTTATGAACCACATGAACTTTCTATCTGTACTTTTAAAAAATTTCCTGGGCTCTGGAGGGGGATCTAAAATTGGTCCAAAAGTTGATATCAGGCTTGAAGCCAAAACGAATACCATTTTTTATTTTACGTTAAACAAACAAATCTTGTCGCTCTATTCGCTGGTTAAGTTTAATTCTTTGACGTTCGATTGTGATCCATTAGGTCTTTGTTGCCTGCCCACGCCTTAAATACGACAAGCAGCATCTAGTGTCTGCTTGGCGGCGAGATTGTAACGTTATCCGTTTGCCAAAACAGGCAGTTGAGAGTAGTCGACAACCGGAGCATGACTAGAGAGTTGGTGATACTTAAGAACCTCAACTGCGCAGCATAAGGCCACAGTTTGTCCATCTTGTAGACTTACACCTTAAATTCAACCCTTGCAACTTACCGTTATCACAATCAACATGGCTGACCTATCAACAACTCCCCCACTGACTCGTGAGTCAGTCATTGAAGCCCACAAGCTCATCAGTCCATATGTACACTTTACGCCCGTTCTGACCAACCAGACGATCACGAAGCTAGCTTCAACCCCTCGCACAGCGGAGGAGCTTGAAGGGACTCGTTATGCTGGTAGAACACCGGCGCGGCCGGTGCTAAGACTCTGGTTCAAATGCGAGAATATGCAACGCATTGGTGCCTTTAAAGCGAGAGGTGCTTTTCATGCCATTGAGAGGCTAAAGAAGGAACCAGGATGGTTGGAGGGAGGGGGCAAGGAGAAAGGAGTCGTGACACACAGTTCCGGTAACTGGTCATATACATGCCTTATCCGACGATGATGGCTAATTGTTATAGGAAATCATGCTCAAGCACTAGCCCTTGCGGCTCGAGAGAGTGGCATCAAAGCCCATATTGTCATGCCCGAGATTTCCAACCCCAAGAAGATCGCTGGAACAAAAGGCTACGGTGCTCGCGTTATCTTTAGCGGAAGCACGTCCACTGAACGTGAAGCAATGGCCGCAAAAGTCATCGCTGAGACAGGAGCTCGACTTGTGCCGCCCTATGATCACCCGGATATTCTCCTTGGACAAGGCACCATGGGGTTAGAATTCCAACAGCAAGTTTCCGAACTGATGACCGCTGATGCTGTCGTTGACGGGCAGAGGAGACTTTTCCGGGCACCGGCTACAGGGCGGGACAACGAGGCGCCGAGGGCCAAGAGGGAGAACCGTGGCCTAGACGCTATCATGACCCCTTGCGGTGGCGGTGGTATGCTCTCAGGTGTTGCTCTGAGCTGTGAGGGTACAGGAATTCGAGTGTTTGGCTCGGAGCCATCATTTGAGGGTGCCGATGATGCAAAGCGTGGATTCGAGTCAGGCACCCGAATCACAGCGGTCAAGACTCTTACAGTTGCCGATGGACTACGCACTCCCGTGGGGGAGCATCCTTGGTCGGTCATCTACGGTCGTCACTTGGTATCGGGCATGTACAGCGTTACTGAGGAAGAGATCTTGGCGGCTATGAAGCTGGTGTTTGAGCGGTTCAAGTTGGTTGTTGAGCCCAGTGCTTGCGTTCCGCTGGCGGTGGCACTGTTTGACGAGGAATTCCGATCAATGGTAGAGCAGGAAGCTGGCCAAGAGGGATGGGACCTCGGACTGGTGTTCAGTGGTGGTAATATTGGTCTTGATGCTGTTGGCAAGCTCTTCGAAGGTAGCAAGTAGGACCTGATTTGGTGGACCAAGATAGAGACGCAGTCTTGAATATAGATTATGATTGTTTTCGTCCTATTTGCTTGGTTGTATATGAAGTACATATTTTTACACACCGACTTGTCATGACTGCATAATATCCCACTCCTTGGCCATGATCCTCACTGGGCCAGTGCTTCATCCATAGTTTTCCTCCACTTCGTGGCATTCTTCCTCAGCAAGATGATACTGACGTAACTAATGATGAGACAGCATATGCAGAGAATTGTAAAAACCCACCCAACGTTGATGGCGTCAATCCATGGGGCAGCAACAATGGCACCAATACAACTAAGCGTGTTCCGAACAAAGTTATTGATGGCAACGCCTGAAGAACTGCGCTTACGGATTAACTCTGTGAGCATAGTGGTAGCAACCGACTGGAAGAACCTATTAGCTAGTAAACTCAAGAGAGGGGGGCATTATCTTACGAAGACAAGCATGGATGAGATTCCAAAGAAGAATAGGGCAAGACATGGTACTACAGGGTGTAAACCGTAACGAAGCACCCAACCAAACATGAGTAATGCTAGAGGATAAATGGTCGTCATTACCCAGGCATTCTCTCTCATTCGGTCTTCGGGAAGATATATCAGCTTCCCGTTCTCATCGTAACGACCAGCTTTACGGGCCTCTCTCGCCATGATTTTGTCGATCCAGCGCCCACCAAATAACGATCCACAAATGTAGCCCAAACCGGAGGGGATGTACATGAGACCAATGGAAAGTTGACCGAAGTTGTATGGGTCACGGGAAAACTTCTGCTGGATAGCAATATTGACAACGTACAGAGAACCAAAAGCAATGGCAGCAAGAAGCACGGTGATAAGAACGGGAGGAAATCGTAGGTAGAGGAGAACTCCTAAAGGGTCAATAAGGAAATGTCGAGCAGATTTGGCGAAGTTTTTGGTCTTGACCTTGGCCGAGTCCATTGTGCGCATTCGACTGAGTCCCTGAGTCTCTACAGTAGGCAACGTAGCCTCAGGCTTTCGTTGTAACGTCTCGGGGAGGAAGAAGAGAATCTTCAAAAGGACGACGAGGCCGTATATAGCGAGAAACCACATAGTCGCTTGCCACCCAATCTCCTGAGTCAACGCACCACCAACAATAGGGGCAATCAGGGGCCCTAACAATGGACCAAGATAGAAGAGACTCATAGCTTTGCCACGCTCAAACACCTCGAATAGATCAGCGATTGAACCTGCACCTGTCGAGTGAGCACTCGCAGAGGCGCCACCGGCGCACATGCGGAAGACGATAAGCATGGTGATGTTCTTGCTAATGGCAGAGAGGACGGAGAATATGACGAACAGCGTGAAGGAGATGAGATATATAGAACGACGGCCAAACTCTTCAGAGAACGAGGACCACCATAGGGGGAAGATAGCCATGGATATCATGTATAGGGCGACTGACAAGTTGGTGACAGTCTCAGAAGTGTTGAACTCTTTCACCAACACAGGAAGGGCAGCTATTCTTGTTAACTCTGGATGCGAACCTGTCATTCTAACAAGGACTTACGATAGACAATAGTCGAGCCTAAAGGTGCAGCAGCTGTGGCCAATGCAATAATACCGGTGAGAAACCATTTCGTCGAGTTCTTGTAATCAGGAGGATACGCAATCTCAGGCACCAATGTCAGTTTTGCAAAAAGACCACGCCTCTTCGATCTCGGAACAACAGAAAGAGTCCTCGATCGTGCAGATGATGCTCTGGACTGAGCACGCTTGGTAGATCGTCGAGTATCTATATGTCCCAGGGGCTCGCCGAGCACGACTGGCTCAATGGTATCTTGAACATCATGTTCTGATTTAATGGAACTCGATACAGCAGTTCCTGGACGTTGGCCGTCTTCTTCTCGCTCAATATCGATCTTTTCATCAATAATCTCTTGTTGTTTCCCTGCAGGTTTCATGGTCACGACGGCCGGGCCCGAAGATGTGGAGAAGCCTCGGCCGAAAAGTTGCGGTTATCGGACCGGAAAGGGGACGGAAAGGTTTTTTCAAGATTAACTCTGAGATGGTTTGATATTCAGATATAGGGCACCAATATATTCAGAACCATTCAGGCACTTGGCAAAAGAAAGGAGAAGAAAAATACGAGAAAGGATTTATAAAAGACCAGGGATGGTTACGTGCGGAAGAGTGATTCCGCCTTAGAGATGAATAATAAGGGAATCGCCCATCCCAGCACTTCAGGCAATGCCGACTTTTGCGAGGAGAGACAAACTAACTACCCTGCTTCCGGTCCTGATTATGACCAATAGTTCTATTATCTCTGGGCAATTGTCCGCGGGACCACACCGAAGAGGGGGACGCCGAAGACGGTGCCGACGATAGGTAGCTAGGTAGGTAGGTATATGGGGATTGTGTGGGGTTAACGCGGAGATAACCTGGAACTTGGTAGTGTTACTGATATGGGACTTGGCATTGCTCTACCGTATTGTTTTCTCTTATGCGAGAATCTCATATGAGGTGGAAGTGTTTGAGATTGCTGTATACTGAGTTGTGTTTCTGGCTAGACTCATGATGCAGCACCTGAGTTTTAGACCTCGGAGTAGCCTACAAGCGAGTGCAATTCAGCTGATGTTCAATCAAAACAGACAACAATTGATGAGCACGCCCGTTTCACAAAATATCAGGATTCGTGATTCAAAGGACATTTGATAGTAATGTTTTAGTCCGAAAGCCATACGGGGAACAGTGAGTTACAGTGACTTGAACAGCCAGAAAAGGCTAATTGGAATTGCAAGAAGTCAATCATCGACACTAAACAGATACGTATGGAGAATAGTTGAAATCATAGAGGCTTGTCTCGGCCGATATCGCAGGGCGTATCCTCGCAAGCAGCAATTTACTACTACGTATATAGATACAGACAGACATAAGAAATGCTACTGTCTCATTTCTTCCACGGCACGAGTAACAGCTATGATTTCGTTTTCAGATATAATAAGCCGTAAACCTAAATTAATTATACTCAACCTTTAAATGTTGACCATGTAACGGCTGAGGCTCACAATGGCGGGGTGCATACGGAGTACCAGCGGGGCACGGTTTAAACATAACCTCACCTGAGTCACTTTCACACATTGCGACCACAACCTCAATCTCAACCTCCCCAACATCATCTCTCAAATTCGTCACTAAAAATGTCTCTCACAAATGCCTCCCCCGAGGCTGCAGCCAGCGCCGCAAAGACAGCATCTTTCACTCTCGCCACCCTCCCGGCCAGTGAGCGCAACCATGCACTTGAGGCCATACACGCTGCCTTGACAGCCTCAAAAGACGAGATCCTCGCGGCAAACGCCAAGGATCTTGAGCTGGCAAGGAAAGCTGCTAGCGAGGGCGGTCTTAGCCAGGCTCTTGTATCGCGATTGGATCTTGGAAAGAAGGGAAAGTGGGAGGATATGCTTAAGGGAATCTTGGACGTGAGGGATCTAAATGACCCAAGTATTGCAACTGTGATAAGACTATGAGCCTCATGGGGCTAACAATATTTCAGTTGGCCAAATTCAGATGAGAACAAAACTCGATGATGATCTCATCATGGAGCGTGTCTCATGTCCCATTGGCGTCCTCCTAATCATTTTCGAGGCCCGCCCCGAAGTCATCGCCAACATCGCTTCTCTTGCTATCAAGTCTGGAAACGCTGCCATTCTCAAGGGTAATATTATAACTCACCTACATTATCACAGCACTGGTTTAGTTACTCACTCTTATCGCAGGTGGAAAGGAGTCTACAGAGTCCTTCGTGGCCATCTCAAAGGTCATCTCATCAGCTCTTGAGACCACAAAGGTCCCCAACTCAGCCATCCAGCTCGTCACAACCCGCGACGTCATTTCCCAGCTCCTCGCTCAGGACCGCTATATCGATCTTGTCATTCCTCGCGGATCAAATGAACTTGTTCGTTACATCAAGGAGTCCACAAAGATTCCCGTCCTCGGCCACGCTGATGGCCTCTGCCATATTTACTTGACAGCCTCTGCCAATAAGGAAAAGGCTACTACTGCTATTGTGGACTCCAAGACAAGCTATCCCGCTGCCTGTAACGCCGTCGAGACCCTTCTCGTCCAGGATTCGGCTCTGAATACCGTCTTCCCTGCTGTTGCTTCCGCTCTTGCCGCCAAGGGTGTTTCCCTCCGAGTCGACGAGCCCAGCAAGGCTGCCATTTCCTCTCTTTCACTGGAAGGTGTTCAAGATGCCACCCCTCAAGACTATGACACTGAGCATCTATCCCTCACCATTGGCGTAAAGACTGTTTCCTCTATTGACGAGGCCATCGCCCACATCAACACCCACGGCTCTCACCACACCGACGCTATCATGAGTTCTGATTCTGCCGAGGCCGAGCGTTTCATGAACGAGGTTGACTCAGCTGGTGTATACTGGAACGCCGCTACCCGTCTTGCCGACGGCATGCGTTACGGTTTCGGTACCGAAGTTGGTATCAGCACAAACAAAATTCACTCTCGTGGTCCAGTTGGCCTCGATGGGCTAACTATTTACAAGTACAAGATCAGAGGCGACTACCAAGCTACTGCTGACTATGGAGACGGAGAGGGCAAGAAGCCCTGGAAGCACGAGAAGTTGGCCCTCTAAACAACTGCTTGCAAAAAAAGAGTCGACGGCATATCACGAAGGCGTTGGGTAAAAGTTTATCAGCTATATAAATAGTAGGCTGTTCAAGTCACGGTTTCAACACATTTATAGCGATCCTTTGTGCTACTGCATTTGTCTCATTATTCTATGTTATGCTAATATTGACCCAATAACAAAAATCCCTCTTCATCGGACTTCGCAAAAGGTGTATCGATTAATTCCCGAAGCACATGTTTTAGTCAGCCGGCACTCCAATGAACCCAGGTTAGCAATTCGTAAGCACATCATAGCGAGCTGTTCTCGTACTGCTTGATCAACTCGTCAAGCTTGGTGCCTTCAGACTTGAAGTCTAAGGGCGTGACAGTCATCACCTGGTAGCGTATCCTGCAGAAGCGATATTAGTATTGGATTAATGATGAAGACGTTCGTCCTGCTTACCGTTGAGCTTCGCCAAAGTTATCCATCTTCGCCCGGCATCGGAAAGTGAACTTCTTGCAGTTGGCCTCTTCAAACGCGGCCATGAATTTATTGTCATCATTTTCCTTGAGCTCCATCATCTCGTCGGCAGTTCGTCCCACGATCTGTCGACCAGAATCGTCAAAACAGCTGAGCCATTGGTGGCTGGTGTGATCCGCAACGTTCAAAGAGAGAATGTACCGGTATTCTGGCTTTTCGTGGGAGATAGCGCACTTCTCGCAGTGCCAAGTGCCATCAGGCATTTGTGTGACCTTCTTATTGCAGCCCTGAGATAGGCAAGCAGGATAGCAAAAATTCTCCTGCTTGACAAAGACAATAGTAGCCTTGATAGTGTAGTAAGCCTGGTCGTCCATGCCAAGGTTCTCATCCTTGACCTGAGAAATGGTCTTGAGGTCTTCCTTTCGCCCAGTAGCATTGCCCATGGAGGCCATGTTTTGATGCGTGGCGAATGTGTCATTGCGACCAGCAGAGTCGTACCAGCCCTTGAGCCTGTGGGCATCAGGAATATCGGGGTCGACAGTCATTGTGCCGGAAGAGAGGAGACTGAGACTCTTGCCACCAAAATCAGACACCTTGGTGCCCTTGAAAGCAACCACTGATTCAGGAGGAGCATCGAAAGAGTTGGCCGACTTGCCCCAAATAGTAACACGGACTGAGAAGCCCGTATCATCCACGAGTGTTAATTCTCGCTTTTGGAATGGTCGGCCATCCTTCTTGGATGTGATATCGCCAACCTCGCCGACCTCCTTCAACACACCAATGACATCGACAGTATTGTCCTTCTCCACACTCTGGAGTTCCTGGATGGAGCAGAAATTGAACCTCACTTGTGGAACATTGGTCTGATCCTCTGCCTTCTCGATGACAGTGTCGCGTTCGAAGGTGAGCTCGTAGTCGTTGGGAAGATTGGAAAACTGTTTCTTAGCCAAGGCAACTCGGCAAGGTGTGGAGATGTAGTAGACAGAGCCTTCCTGCAGGCGGTCGTAGAAAGCGTCACACTGGTCGTTGAAACCAGTGGCCTTGATCTCACCACTCTCGTCGAGCAGGTTAACACTGAAAAGTTTTCCCTCGCCAGTGGCCTTGTGCCATGTCTTGATATCTGATTTAGAGGTAACTCGGGCCTTGATTGTCCACTTGTGAGCGAAGGGCGACAGACCCTCGATAGGATAGATGTTACTGCCAGCGTGCATGGCAGGTCGTGAGGGCATCGACTGTTGTTGCTGTTGGAATTGCTGGGGCTGTGTCTTTGATTCTTCCTTCTTGACGCCGTAAAAATCGCCTCCAGCAATGGCACCCTCCTGGGCAGCTGGCTTGGAGTCGACAGCATAGGGCTCGCCAATCTTTTCTTGGACGCCAAGAGATTCGATGACTTCGATATCGAGAATGACGAGAATGCTAATAAGTATTAGGGGCGGACAATGAAACCTGGGAAGACACATACTTCTTGCCCTTCAAATTGTTGGGTGTGTATTGCTTGATTCGGGCAATGCAACCACGAACCAGCTTGTTTTCATGCACGACATGGTTGGCTTGAGTAGCCAGCATGGTCTGGACGTAATGCTGCCCATCGCTCATTACAAGTCTAAATCGGTCTCCTCCTTGAGCGGACGGAGCCATCTGCTTGACTTGAAGACATTGCAGAACAGGTACCGGGAAGAGCTTGCTGGCTTTTTCAGGATCATTGAAGATCACGCTGGGTAAAAGTCAGCGAGCAACGACAGGGAGGTTAGGTGATAAGAACATACTCAAGAGCGCCTCGCGATAGCGCTGAAGCTGCGTCCATGGTTATTGTGCTTTACGCTTCTTTTGGGAGGTTGTGTATGCTGTTGGAACGGGGGCCTTTTCGTTTTGTTCTGTCGAGAAGGTGATAGGTGATGAGTGAAAGGCGTCAACGAGAAGGTACTAGGTAGGTACGTAAGACGCGTTCAGCGCGTTGAGTGAAACGCGCTGTGGCAAGTAATCGCGGGGTTGTGGCTTACGTAAAGAGGAGACAACCGATATTTGCCTGTAGGCACCAGTGCAGCATTAGGCATGGTACTGTAGCTAGCCATACCATTGAACGATAATCTTATTATGTAGCTAATAAAGGTATCTCAAGGCAACAAACTGTGACCTTTTTGGGACTCCTGATTCACCACCATAAGGAATGCACTGAAAGCCAAGTACCCAACATGGCTTTCTTGTTTGGGCTATCATAAAACCAATACTCAGTAACGAAGAGACCGAGAAGTAAGAAATCTCTAAATCTGCAGTGTAGTAAGATCATTAAGTCCGCATTACCAGCAACAATTGGCCAAGAAGGGTAGAGCATTCACTTCTCGTTGGCCATGTTATTCCTTACCTAGTGGTTTCCTAGTACAATCCCGTCCTGCCAGAAGCAACATACTATATCTTGATAACAGCATTAGCGCGGTAATTATCAAAGACTGTTATGATCTCCTCCTATTTTTTCAAAAGAAGTCTCTTCTTGGATTATATTTTAGGCGGGTTATAAATTTACCCAGGAACTATATACACCTTTAATCCTGGTCCAAAAATTGATAGTTGAAGAGCCTATAAAATTTAACTATAGGTACTACATTAGCCTCAATTTATCTAAGTATTTCTAGAATTTAGGATTAAGGTCTCAAGTCCTCTCATATCCCTTAGATGGGTTGCCGGTCTTGTCTGATACCTTTCATTTCAGTTCTTGCTGGTACATGGCGAGTACTCAGTCAGTTACCCCTCCAACATGACGTTAAATTCCAGCCTGGGCCTTGTACGCCAGGGTGCCCCTCCACGTGCAACGGGCAACATCATCTTCTTTCATTGTCTTTCAGCCCACAGAGGAGTCAGTACAGTACCGCCAACCTAGCCAGCCGAGAGAAAAAAGAGAAAGAAAAGAAACAAATAGAATACAAGGAGTATATCAGGATGGCTGACGCAGACAATGCTACTCGCGCTCCCGAGAGTGACGCCCAGGAAACCCCTGCGGCCAGCGACAACATACAAGCTCCAGTCGTAGGCGAACATTGTGTTTCTGACAGACCAACCCGTACCACACCACTCAGAATAGCTTCGCCGCAGGCCGCTAACAATCGCAGCTTCGGGCCAGTCCTCTACAGGCGAAATCATCAAGCTCAACGATGTCGATGTGCGTGGCCAATAAGCTCCCCAAGCTCTAAGCTGACCCTCCCTTACTCAGGTCTACGTTTCGAAACCAACCGACTACCCTCATGCGCCGTCGCGACTCCTCCTCCTTCTGACCGGCGGTACAGGAATCAAGTCTACCAACAACCAGATCCAGGCCGATAAGTTTGCCTCGGAGGGCTATCTTGTCCTCATGCCCGACCTCTTCGCTGGCGACACAGCTCCTGGTGCCACGGCTATTACAGACGACTCCACATCCATCCTCGAGCAGTTCAAGCTGAAGGCCGTAGAAGTTACAAAGTCATTCCTCATTGACATGTGGCTCGCCCGCGTCACAGATGAGAGGGTCATGCCCATCCTGCACAAAGTCATTGATGCTGCGCGAGAGCAGTACGCCGACACGATCAAGCAGGGCGACGGTATCTATGCCGCTGGATACTGTGTTGGTGCACGATTTGTTCTCCTACTTGCCAAAAAGACAAAGACCCCTGAGGGAGATGCAGAGAGTGGCGGTGTCAAGAACGGTCCTTTTATCAAGGCCGGTGCTCTGGCACATGCTGCTTCTGTTGTTCCTGACGATTTCAAGGACATTGGCGTTCCTCTCAGCTTGGTTTGTGTCGAGAACGACCCTCTCTTCCCTGATAGCGTTCGGATAGGGGGAGAAGACAGTTTGTCTGACGCCAACGTTGAGCATGAGGTTCAGGTTTATCCTGGAGTTCCACATGGTAAGATTACCTTAAATTCGAACCATAGTCCTTAGGCAACTAATGATTTCTTCAGGATTCGCAGTTGTAGGCGAGTACCAAGATTCATCAATCAGGGATGCTCAAGCCACAGCGTATGACCAGATGCTCAACTGGCTCAAGGCTCATTAACTTACAACATTATACCTTTTTCTTTCTCACATGCGGCGTGTAGGTCGCTGTAGTGATTTGCGTTTGTCTCTTTATTGATTTGGTTGAATATACGCAAGTGATAGGAATTATCATGGTCGGGGAAGATAGGCTTCAAGTTTGCACACCCAAAGTACTCGTGAATTGATATCCATGCTTTGACACTCAAATGAAAAATCGTTCTGAAAGTTAATTGTATGGACTAGATTGAAATTCCATATACTGAGGCCTGAAATCATTCTCTACCTTAGGAGATAGTGCAGATAATTTTACCCAGGTTCTTGGCATCTTCCATATGCTTGTGGGCCTCCTGAATCTGTTGCCACGGAAAGACCTCATCCACGAAGATCTTAAGCTTACCAGACTCGAAATCTGGCAGATATTGCTCCAGTCGGTCCCGTAGCTCGCCCTGGTAAGCCTCGTCGCGGCTCCGAAGAGTACTGCCCTCAATACGAAGTCGCTTGAACAAGATCTGAGAAATATCAGCATCAGGAACCTTGGCGCCGCTCAGAGTTCCCAAAAGCACAATGCGTCCATCACGCGCAGCGACATTCTGATTCTGCTGGAAGTAGCTTCCGCCAACAAAGTCAACGATATAGTCAACACCCTTGCCGCCGGTAGCCTTCTTGATCTCCTCCGCCCAGTTCTGCGTTTTATAGTTGAAAGCAGCTGTTGCACCGAGCTTCGAAGTGATAAAGTCGAGCTTATCCTGAGATCCAGCTGTGGCATACACTTCAGAGGCACCAGCGATGCGTGACAGTTGGATGCCGGCAACCGACACTCCTGAAGCTCCTGCGTGCCACAGGATGGATTTGCCCTTCGTGAAGCCAAGCACAAGATGCAACGCCTGAGTTGCAGTGATCCAAGCCTCGGGAATACCAGCACACATGGTAAAGTCGATGGAAGCCGGTTTGTGCAGCAACATGCGGGTACTGACCGCGATGTACTCGGCATACGCACCGCCGTAAGCTAACCCAAAGACCTCATCCCCTTCTTTGAAAGCGCCATGATCGCCGGGTCCAAAAGACTCAATGATGCCGCTGAATTCCACGCCCAATGTCTTAGGCGCCTGAGGTGGCAGCGGGTAAAAGCCTCGACGCTGGATGATATCCATGCGGTTAATACCAAAAGCTTTGATCTTTACGATAGCCTGCCCCTCAGCAGCAGAAGGTTTAGGCGTCTCGGCGTTGATGAAGAGGGCATCACGCTCGCCAGTGCCACCGTGGATATCTGGGAGGATTAGTTAGCCATCACAGTCTTAAATTGGCATGTTAGCCTCATACCGACTGCCTTGATGTACTCGGGCATATTTATTGTATCAGAAATGGTTTTCGATTGTTGAAAGTTGAAGTTGATGGAAGAATGTTCAATTATGAAGTCAGAGGCTCTGTCTTGAAGGCAACGCCCGCATTTCGCATTGCCTGCACCGAGGCAATGACGTACATTACTAATACAACTTTGCAGACGTCAATGGAAGCATCGGAGACGATGTTTGGCTTCCGCCGAACTTTCGGCCGGGAAGATCTCCATATGAGGGACCGACCCATTGTAAATATAATACACACGACATCTCTGCGTAACCAGACATATGTGAGAGTGTGTAATTGACGACGAGAGTGGTAGGTCTGCTGATAGCAAACTCGATTGAAACATAGGGTTGGATGAAAGGTTGATCCAAAATGTTTTGTTCGAATTAGACTAAGGGTCTTCTGAGACCGAGCCAGGCTGAGATTCTGTTTCAATTCAACCACAGAAACAGTTTGTTGTTGAGTGGTAGTTCTTAGGAACAGTCAATCAGTCAGTCCGTCAGGATCTACGCCACGAAAAAAGGAAGTTAATACTCAGCTAAGCTACGCATCCATTCACAAGGTATGAAAATCTCAGTCAATACAGGTTTCAAATACGGATATTTCTATATCAGTTCAGTCGCTGCGAAATGGAAAGCGACAATGCTTGGATTGAACAGGAATAGGCTAAGACCTTTCAGCACAATTTCTTTAACAGTCATGCAGACTTTTATACTGACAAAATCCACGATTCCAACCTCCGAATCGAACAGAGACGGTTTCACTTGATTGAAGTAGATCACCAGATAGATTAGCACATTTTTAATAAACAATACCTTATTATCATGACAGTCATGCCATCCGGAAACTCGGCAACAGCCAATATCGTTTAGTCGTTAGCCACCAGGGCATGAATCCGATAGTAGTTCAACTACTAGAGACTAGCCATGGAGAAACACCTAACTTTAGATCCTATTCCGCACTTCGAACCTAGGCCAAAAGTCCCGGCGATGGCAAATTGGCGAGCCCAATTATAGATCGGGTGCAATCAAACTACGGTTAGTTAAGAATCACCACTTGACGGACCGCGCTTTGGTGCCATTAGACTATGGACCATCGAGTACTGACTACTGTACGTTACTGAGTGGGCCTAGCAAATGAGGTCTTCCTGGTTGTCTGGGTGAGTAATATAAAACGAATCAGGCGAATAACACGCGTCAACGTCAACAAAACAACAAGACAACCTTGGCGTTTATTTTAAGTGCTCAATCGATACAGATCGAAATTTTCAATATGCAAAGCCACCGATGTGGTCATGCTACCGTAGTAAGCGTTACAGCGGGATAAATTCAAACGGTTAGAATGAAGCACCCGACATGGATGATCTGACGGCCAGGACAAGTGGTGGAAATGAAGTCCGGGTATACCTTTCCGAATATTATCATGCAGCCACGCAGATTGGGCGGCCAGAAACTTTATCACTGACAAGCATGTCGATACCTCTCAGTCGATGCTCGAAGTGGGCTTGAGAGGCTTGCGGGAGATCCAACGCCTTGCTTAGAGTGTGAGCGGGAAGAGACATAAAGGGATGGTGAGAAACCTTGGCACACCATTTAGGAAATGGAGAC